ATGCTGAACCCTAAACCCTAAACCCTAAACCCTAAACCCTAAACCCTAAACCCTAAACCCTAAACCCTAAACCCTAAACCCGAAACCCGAAACACTAAACCCTAAACCCTAAACCCTAAACCCTAAACCCTAAACCCTAAACCCTAAACCCTAAACCCTAAACCCTAAACCCTAAACCCTAAACCCTAAACCCTAAACCCTAAACCCTGACCCGAGCCGCTGTGCTGCCCTCCACTGCGGAAGCCTGGCTCGCGACTCTTTGGGTTTTCGTTGCTTCCGGGCTCGCAGAATGCTGCAGGGCACATTGGGCTTCTAACAGGGTTTAGGGTTTAGGGTTTAGGGTTTAGGGTTTAGGAGAAGGGCCACTGTGGCTGAGTTCCTTCCCAGTGGTACTGGCAACTAGTACCCGTTTCCCCTTTTTAGGATGTTTAGGGTTTAGGGTTTAGGGTCTAGTACGGGGTTAGTAAGGGTTTATGCCATCCTTCCCCATCAACACCGTCGAACACGCACAGGGTTTCACTTTGCTCCTTAGTTATTCGGGTAGCCCATGTCGCTGTGGCTCACCCCATGTTCCGCTTAGCTTCTGCTTCTGCACTCCCTCCGGTTCAAGTTTAGCAAAATTCACCCCTAACTAAAACTTCAACCCTAAACACGAAACACATTTTTTCAAAAGGGTCAGGGAAGCAAAGCGGGCTCTCTAGCCTCGAAGTTTATACACTGCTCACCTTGCACCCCATCATGTTGGGATATTGCCCTGTCCGCATCGTCAAGTATTCGGGAGTGTTGGAGGTTAATCCTCTCCCTCAATACTAAACAGCCCCCCTCCTACCCCCTAATATTAAATACCCCCCCCCCCCCCCATATACTCTAAAAAACTATACTGGGTGTATTTAATGCTAGGGGGTGAGGGGGGGGGGGTGTTGAATATTAGCGGGAGGGGATTAGGGCCGACAAAAGCCCAGACCCCTAGGAGGATCCAAACAGTCGATCCCCTCCAGGGATCCAAAAAAAAACATCAACCCTAAACCCTAAGCCCTAAGCCCTAAACCCTAAACCCTAAAGGTTGGGATGTTCCACCTTATACTAACAGTCCTTGATTGGGATTCGGATCGGGGGTACTGTAATCCTTATGAAGGACTGCTAGTTTAAGGGGGAACATCCCAAAGTATACAACCCCAGGTATGAGTCTACTTATAACCTACCTACGCGACTCCGGGGACTTAAGGGGCTTATAAGTACAGTTAGACGGTTAGACGTGCCATGAACCTCCATGTGGGGTACTATTTGGGGTTCTACTTCTTGGACCCTCCCAGGGGTCCTAGGCACCCCTAAACCCTAAACCCTAAACCCGAAACCCTAAACCCTAAACCCCCCTCCCTTAAAGAACCCCGAAACCACAAAGTCCTTCTATCACAGCACCTTGCTTTGCTTCCAAGCCAAGGACCCACCCTTTCATGGGCGTTGAAAACACCCTAAACCCTAAACCCTAAACCCCGTTGAAGTCCCAACGAGGTCCTCTGCAGATGTGTTGCCGCGGTTTTGACGGACACGGACTGTGATTCCTGGAAGGCGGATGCGTATCGTTGGCAGGAAGCTGCCGGAAAGACGATTCCGTACCCTCGGCTTTGTTTTGGAGCTTTGTTTTGGAGCTTTTCTAGTATAGGTTCCTTAAGCGAGGGGGGTTTCATGGACCCTAAACCCTAAACCCTAAACCCTAAACCCTAAACCCTAAACCCTAAACCCTAAACCCTAAACCCTAAACCCTAAACCCTAAACTGGGCTTAGGGCTTCGTATGGGCTTGGGGTGTAGGGGCCGGATGACTCCGCACGCAGGCCATGTTTCAGCTTGGCTTAGGGTGCTTCAGGGGCTGTAGGGCTGGCTCTGGTGGGCTTAGAGTTGGGTTTAGGGCTTAGGGCTTAGGGCTTAGGGCTTAGGGCTTAGGGCTTAGGGCTTAGGGCTTAGGGCTTAGGGCGTAGGGCGTAGGGCTTAGGGCTTAGGGCTTAGGGCTTAGTGCTTAGGGCTTAGGGCTTAGGGCTTAGGCTTTGTAGGTTGCAGGCTGCAGAGAGCAGCGATAGCAGCATCAGCCGGCTGAGGTATGTGGACGAAGGCATTGATGCCCCTCGGCCTGGGATGAACTCAGGGAGACGACCCTAAACCCTAAACCTCTCTATCATAATGAATTTAAACCCTAATTCAAAAGTGGGCAACGGTGATTTTCGGCCTCAAAAGTGGGCAAGGGTGTGTTTCCTGGCCTCAAAAGTGGGCAACGGTGACTTTCCTGGCCTCAAAAGTGGGCAACGGTGACTTTCCTGGCCTCAAAAGTGGGCAACGGTGACTTTCCTGGCCTCAAAAGTGGGCAACGGTGACGGTCCTGGCCTCAAAAGTGGGCAACGGTGACTTTCCTGGCCCCAAAAGGGCAACGGTGACTTTCCGGGCCTCAAAAGTGGGCAACGGTGACTTTCCGGGCCTCAAAAGTGAGCAACGGTGACTTTCCTGGCCTCAAAAGTGGGCAACAGGTGACTTTCGGCCTCAAAAGTGGGCAACGGTGACTTTCGGCCTCAAAAGTGGGCAACGGTGACTTTCCTGCCTCAAAAGTGGGCAACGGTGAATTCCGGCTTCAAAAGTGGGCAATGGTGAATTTCCTTTTCCCCGAGTTTTTTCAAGGTTTTTCAAGGTTTTTCAGAGTTCTTCAGTGTTTTTCAAAATTTTCCGGTATTTTTCAGGATGTTTCAGGGTTTTTAACCCTCAATTCTGATGAAGGGCCGCCCGCGCGACCTTTTCACAGCCTAGTTTTGGTCAAGGGGGGGTCGTATTTTTCAGTTTTAAAGGCAAAATAGTCTTCGGAGACCCCCCCCTTGCCTCAAACTCCGACCCCCCCGCGATCTTTTAGTACTGCAATCGACGGTTCTGGGTGGGCTCTCGCTAGATGTTTGACCAAACCGGGCCTTCACCGTTTCAAGAATTTCAAGTTTTTCAAGGTTTTTCAAGGTTTTGCAAGGTTTTTCAAGGTTTTTCAGAATCTTTCAATGTTTCAGTTCTGATGAAGGACCGCCCCCCGACCTTTTCACAGCCTAGTTTTGGTCAAGGGGGGGGGGGGGGCGCATTTTTCAATTTTAAAAGCAAAATAGTCTTTGGAGACCCCCTCTTGCCTCAAACTCCGACCCCCCTTGAGAGGGAAAGTTTGCCTCCAAAAACACCCCAAATGAGGGGGACCCCGGGATCGGCCCGGGCCCCTATTAAAAATGCGATTTTTTAGTACTGAAATCGACGGTTCTGGGTGGCCTCTCGTTTTCTGGCCCTAAGAGCATAAAGGGCCTATTGGGCCTTAGATTAGATTTCGGGCTTTGGGTCCGTTAAAAAACTTACTATTGGGAATGTATTGAGTGAACTTTGTATTTTCTCAATGTTATGGGTTTTTTGGGTGGGTGGGTTTTTTTTCCAACGCTTGACAAGCTGCTTGACTAGTGAATGCTCGGACTTGAGATGCTGAACCCTAAACCCTAAAACCCTAAACCCTGGGTACCCTAGAACAGGGACCCAGCGTGGGCCCACAGTTTTGAGTCTTACTTGAAGGTTCATGGTACTTGCTAACCAATTATAACTGTACTTATAACCCTAGTTATAAGTGGGATAACCCCTATAAGGCCCTTTAGGGGTATTATAAGTAGGGTTATAAGTACAGTTATAATTGGTTAGTAAGTACCATGAACCTTCAAGTAGGGTTCAGGGTTTAGGGCTTAGGGAACTGCAATGCCTGCTATGGCTTAGCCTGCGGTGTCCGGCTCTGAGGAGAAGCACAGCCCCTTCATCGTGCTGAATGCCACGCACGCCAAGGCGCCTCTTCCTGAAGCCTTAGGGAATGTAGGTTTCAGGGTTAAGGGTTAAGGGTTTAGGGCTTAGGGTTTATGTCTTACGGTTTATGTTTTAGGGTTTAGGGTTTAGGAATTAGGCCCATACTTTTGACCCGCCTGCAGAAAACACAAAGCCCCAAATCAAGTCGCGAACCTTCCTGAACCCTACGCTAGGACCAGGAGTGGTGCCCTTCTTCTCGTCGTTTTGAGGTTTATATGGCGGTTTCCGACAATAGGGGTACCCTTTTGGGGGGTCCCTTTGGGGTCCCTTTAAGGAATTCGATTCTATTTGGGGTACAACATTGGGTACCCTGATTTTGGGAAATGCCCCTATACCTAATAGGGTTGCTTTAGGGTTTGGATTCGTATGGGGGTTGGGGTTTTGGTGTTTTGGGGTTATCCTCCAACATCCTTTTTGGGACCCCCCGTCTTTAGGGACTGCCAGACCGTATGTTCAGGTACAGAACCGCGTCTTGACTTGAGCAAACCATCCATTACCCCTTTTCTTTCACACGAAAACACCTAAAACCTAAACCCTAAACCCTAAACCCAAAACCCCTTTTCAACCCAAGACCTGCACCTCCTCTCGAGGTCGTGGTTGGAAAAGGGGCTGTGACTGGAGACCCGAACGACTTGGTCCACCCGATCCTTGCTGAGTCTATTTTGGGTTCGAGTTTAGGGTTTGGGGTTTAGGGTTTCGGGTTTGGGGGTTCGAGTCCGCGCACAGGCTCGCGAGGTCTACAACGGGGTATATACTGCCTCAGCTCTGTGTGTCGTGCTGCACTGCAGTTCTGAGCGGTTTTTTTCTGTGAATAATCAACTAAGGAACGTTTAACAGTGGTAACAGAACTAAACTTTGAGGTATAGGTCAGTGTATATCTAGTTTTTTTGATTGCTAATTTATCGCCAACAACCCAATTACTGATATTGTTGCATTCTCACAACCGTTAGTTAGTGTGTGTTTTTGTCAGAATTCGAATCATGTTCACTCTTGAATTTCCATTTGAATGTCATTTACTTTTGTATTGGAATGATCAACGTTTCTATTTACTGATGTCCTGTCACTTGGTCCTGTACTGCGACCGCCTTCGGCCCTCGGCCCTAGGCAGGTATCTTGCTTGCCAGAGGGACAGAGTCTCAAAGCAAGGATGGTGGATGATCCAGATCTTGTTCACTTCATCCAACTTATTTGGGTGGAGGATCAATCTGGCATCTGGGCTGAAACCATTCAATACTTGGTAGCCCAGTGGTACCCTTCCCTTTTTGTGGTTCTGGGTTTCCTTTTAAAGGAACCAACCCAAAAAAGGGTGCCCTTATTATCATACCCTAAACCCTAAACCCTATACCCTAAACCTTGTTGTAAGATGGTTACTGGGCTACCAAGAATAAGATAGAGTCACACAGATGCAGTCTCATGGCTAGGACGACGTCCCAAGGCAAGCCGAAAATGATGGTGCCAAGATGCAGCAACCACTTGCAGACCCTACCTTGGGCTCTCTTTGCCTACAGTTTATAAGTAACTACGTATTCCTGATTAAGTAGGTGTAGCTGTGTACCCCGTAAGACTGCGAGTGATTTTAGTAGAGTCCCATGCAAGCCTTTCTTTCAGGTTCATGGGCGCTTGTATTCCCTGCTAGGGGCGGCTTATAAGTACAGGTATAATTGGGGGACTGTACTTCTAACTCTAAACCCTAAACCCTAAACCCTAAACCCTAAACCCTAAACCCTAAATTTAAACCCTAAACCCTAAACCCTAAACCTCCAAGTAGGAAGCTTCAACCTCTCAGGCAACCTGGTATCCATGCGGCACCTGTCTCCTGCGGAAGCAGCGCCCGCTACGCACCCTCGGTGGAATAAGGGTTTAGGGTTTAGGGTTTAGGGTTTAGGGTACCTACTCCTTCCAGAACCCTCCTTTCGAGAGGCCCTTGACTTTTTACTGCTCAGTCCTCACTCCAAACCCCAAACCCGGCTCCCTGTGATAGCCTGAAGCCCTAAGCACTAAAGCCCTGAAGGCTCCCAAGCTCCAGGTAGGGTTTAGGGTTTAGGGTTTAGGGTTTAGGGTTTAGGGTTTAGGGTTTAGGGTTTAGGGTTTAGGGTTTAGGGTTTAGGGTTTAGGGTTCAGGGTTGGACGCAACAGGGGCGTATGGCATTTTTCGCCGGACTTCGTTTTTTCGGGGTACTTGGGGCCCGTATCACAACAGGGGACCCACAAGGGACCCGAACTTAGAGTGCTGGCTCGGCTTTCAGGGTTTAGGGTTATGGGGTTTAGGGTTTAGGGTTTAGGGGTTCATAGTGTTTGGGGTTCAGGCTTCAGGGCCTTGAACTCCCTGTTCTAGCCCTGCGTAAGCAAAAGCACCTGCATGGGCCGGCTTTGGGGTCTGGGGTTTAGGTTTTTAGGGTGTTAGTAGGGTTTAAGGTTTAGGGCTTAGGGCTTAGGGTGCAGGGTTTAGGGTTTAGGGTTTAGGGTCTAGGGTTTGGAAGAAGCCCGGCTGAGGATGTACTTTGAGATCCCGGTGGGCACCACAAGCCTGCGAGCCTTCGAGCTCTGCGTCTCGGCCTGCGGCTTACCCTAAACCTTAAACCCACAACCCCAAACCCCAAACCCTAAACCCCAGACACCAACCAGGCCCCCCCCCCCTCCCTCCCCCCACCCACCCCCAAGAAAAGAGCAATCAACGCGCACAGAGATGAGAAAGAGAGAGAGAGAGAGAGAGAGAGCGAGACAGATAGAGATAGAGAGATAGAGAGATCGAGAGATAGAGAGATCGAGAGATCGAGAGATCGAGAGATCGAGAGATAGAGAGATAGAGAGATACAGAGATAGAGACATAGAGACATAGAGAGATACAGAGATAGAGAGATAGAGACATAGAAAGGAAGAGAGGAAGAGAGAAAGAGAGAAAGAGAGATAGAGAGATAGAGAGATACAGAGATAGAGAGATACAGAGATAGAGAGAGAGAGACACCCTAAACCCTAAACCCTAAACCCTAAACCCTGAACCCTGAACCCTGAACCCTAAACCCTAAACCCTAAACCATAAACCCTAAACCCTAAACCCTAAACCCTAAACCCTGAACCCTAAACCCTAAACCAAACGAGACCCACCCGCGGCCAGGCAACCTACACGGCTTATACCGCAGTCCGGCGGCGCCTCGGATAGGACTACTTGGAGGTTCATGGGTACGTATAACCGCATTAGGGTTTAGCGTTTAGGGTTTAGGCTTTAGGGTTTGGGGTTTAGGGTTTAGGGTTTAGGGTTTAGGGTTTAGGGTTTAGGGTTTAGGGTTTAGGGTTTAGTGTTAGGGTTTAGGGCTATAGGTTCAGCTCCCCAGTTATCACTGGACTTTAAATCCGCTGAGGCCCCGAAGTCGGGTGTAACCCCTAAGTGAGTGTTGGGGTTTAGGGTTTAGGGTTTAGGGTTGGGGGTTTAGGGTTTAGGGTTTAGGGTTTAGGGTTTAGGGTTTAGGGTTTAGGGTTTAGGGAGTTGGGGGGTCACAAGTACCAATGAGCCCTCCAAGTAAGTCAAAGTTCGAGCTCGGGATGCCCCCGGGTTCTTGGGCTTCAGGGTTTAGGGCTTAGGGTTGAGGCTTTAGGGCTTAGGGTTGAGGCTTTAGGGTTTAGGGTTTAGGGGTTTCAGGGTTTAGGGTTTAGGGTTTCGGGTTTAGGGTTAGCGGTCTGACTACTAAGCGGACGCCTTATCAGAACTCGGTTGATATATATATATACGGATTCAACAGTAGATGTCCGTGACCCTGCAAAGGAACGCATGAGATCCCCCTGCATCTGAACCCAAAGCCTAAGGCTTAGACGACCCCTAAACCCTAAACCCTAAACCCGAAACCCAAAGCCCTCAAAACAGCCCTGAATACCCTCAGGAGTTCCGGGCTTTTGGGGTCCTAGGGGTTCTAGGGGTTTTGGGGCTTAGGGTTCCAGGGTTCCCAGGGTTCTAGGGTTCCAGGGTTCCGGGGTTCTAGGGTTCTGGGGTTCGAAAGTTAACCCTAAACCCTAAACCCTAAACACTAAACCCTAAACCGAAGTTCTGGGGTTCCAGGGTTTATAGTGTGTACTTCAGTCAACCCTGCAGCCCCTGACAGTCGTAACCCTCAGCAACCGCGGCTCCTCCATCTCCCTCATTTTGGGGTTTAGGGTTTAGGGTTTGGGGTTTAGGGTTTAGGGTTTAGGGTTTAGGGTTTAGGGTCCTTTGAAGCCTCCAACACCCTATACAAGCCTTTCAGCAATCAAGCACGCTAGACAATGCCCATTGGGGCTGCCAGAATGCCCACAATAATCACGGTTCAGGTGTTAGGGTTTAGGGTTTACGGGGGTAACCCTCCCATGCTGCAAGCAATGGGTCGTGATGTTTTGGGCTCCTATTCTACCCCTCGTCCCCACCCCACCCCACCCCCACCCCCTCCCCCCCCCCCCACCCACCCACCCAGAATCTGGCCCAGGCAAGCCAAAAATCGGCTTCACTACTTTGTCGGGCTTCATTCTAGCTCAAAAACAGTGGTGTGCGGGTGTGGTATCCCTAAACCTTGAACCTGTCAACCCGAATCAAACCCTAAACCCTCACCTTCACTAAGGCTGCATGAGGTTCAAAGAGCAGTTACCTTACTTACTTGGAGGTTCATGGTACTTACTAACCAATTATAACTGTACTTATAACCCTACTTATAATACCCCTAAAGGGCCTTATAGGGGTTATCCCACTTACAAGTAGGGTTATAAGTTATAAGTACAGTCATAATTGGTTAGTAAGTACCATGAACCTTCAAGTACAACCTCACAGATATCACACCCGAAAGCCTGAAGCAGCAACCTTGCCGAAAGGGGTTGAGGGTTGAGGGTCTAGGGTATAGAATCCCAGAAAGAGGGTTGAGTGCTTAAACCCTAAACCCTAAACCCTAAAACCTAAAACCCTAAACCCTAAACCCTAAGCCCTAAACCCTAAACCCTACACCTTAAACCCGAACTCGAATCCCATGCAGAGGTGGCAGTCACCACAGGCCAGACCACGAGCTTGGCGCCCGCGGCCTGCTCTGTGCAGCAGTGCGTCGAGGGAACCTCTGCAGCTTGCTAGCGCTTATGGGTTTAGGGTTTAGGGGTTAGGGGTTTTAGGGTTTAGGGGGTTGAGGGGTTTAGGGTTTGGGTTTGGGGTTTAGGGTTTGGGGTTGAGGGGTTTAGGCGTTCTTGCAGGTGTCTGTGTGTGTGCACCTCCAAGAAACCCTGAGAAGGTTTATCTTTCTAAAGATATAGGAACCACCCAGATGTTGGCTCGAACTTGTGTCGTGCAAAGAGAACCCGTGGCACCCTCAGCTGACTCTTCGAACTGCAACCCTCAACCCGAAAACCCTAAGCCCCTAAGCACCAGTTTATGGTTCAGGGTCTGGGATGGGCTTAGGGTTTAGGGTTTAGGGTTTAGGGTTTAGGATTTAGGGTTTACGGAAGCCCTAAGCCCAAGCCCTCGACCCCGAAGCCCCAGTCTACGACGTCAGTTTAGGTAAGAACTGGCAGGCCGCCGATACCCTCATTGCCTTTTCCATGTTGGGGGTTCTCGTAAACACCCCCCCTCAAAAGTGGCCTAAACCCTAAACCCCTTCTCCTACGCCGGTGTCATGTTTAGGCTTCAACCCAAAATCTTAGGGCCCTAAGCCCTAACCCTTTCTGTTCCTTGGCTGCTGCGGAGCTAGTCCGAGTCCTTCCACCTCGTGCTCCACCCGGAAACTTCTGAAACCCCAAGCCTCAAGGGTTTAGGGTTTAGGGTTGAACCCGAAATGCGATACTGGTTAGGGTTTAGGGTTCAGGGTTTAGGGTTAGAAGGCTAGGTTCAGAGGGTGAACTCCACGCCCAGGTCTCCAACTGCCAAGCTTTCGCCAGCGAGCTCTTGCGCCGTCAAGAGGGTCAGCCCAAGACAGATCCCTCAGGCCCAGAAGCATGTGCACAGGACCGAGTTACACTCGGGTTTAGGGCATAGGGCTTAGGGCTTAGGGCTTAGGGTTCAGGGTTCAGGGTTCAGGGGTAATTAGTCGTTGGGGCCTATTTGACTGACATTTGGGGTAAACCCTAAACCTTACATATGGGGAACCTATAATACTGTAATTCCCAATTTCCCTCCTAACCACCAAATCTTGTTTAACTTGTTTATCTAGTCACGAGAGCTTTCGTGTTTTGCCAGGTAGAGTTAGGGTTTAGGGTTTAGGGTTTAGGGTTTAGGGTTTAGGGTTTAGGGTTTAGGGTTTAGGGTTTAGGGTTTAGGGTTTAGGGTTTAGGGTTTAGGGTTTAGGGTTTAGGGTTTAGGGTTTAGGGTTCATGTTTGTCCCGTGTGCTGTTGGCTGAGTCGAAGCCCAACAGCCCGCAACCCCAAATCCCCGAAGCCCCAAATTCTAGAGGCTGCGCCCACAAACCCTAAACCCGAAACCCTAAACCCTAAACCTACTGTAGAACCCTGAGGGAAGCACACGCCTTTCTTGGTTCTGAACGGCACGACTGCAACCATTGTAGTCGGCATCGGTGGCACGCCCGGCATCTTGGAAGACACTAATAGGAGGGAGGGCAGGGGTTTAGGAAGCTTAGTGCTTAGGGCCTTAGCCTTAAACCCTAAACCCTAAACCCCAAACTTTGGGTTCACGAAGCCCATGGTTCTGAGATGACCGCTGCTGCCCTTGATTCTCCAAATCCTTCTGTCTGTTGCGGTTTGGGGCCGTTCGGAGGTCGCGCGGGCGCTGGAGGAGTGTGGTGGTTTTCGACTTTGGGGTACCTTATTGGGGGTCCTCAATTTCAGGGATTCGTACTGTTTGGGGGTTATTTTGGGGGTCCCTATTTCGTAAACCTACGTGTAGGACTCTTCTTCTTCGTGAAGCCAAGGAAACGAAGGAGGCCTCATTCACCCAATGACGCCCTCCGACGACAAGGACTTCGCCCACTGGATCTCTCACATTTACGCGCCGGGCCTGAACAAAATTCGAAGTCTTCAGGTTCGATCTCCGGGGCTTTGAAGCCAAGTACTTGGGGGCTTCTGGGGTTTAGGGCTAGGGTTTAAGGTTTAGGGTTTAGGGTTTAGGGTATAGGGTTTAGGGTTTAGGGTTTAGGGTTTAGGGTTTAGGGTTTAGGGCTAAAGGGTGGAATCTGCAGCAAGAGGCGGTGGACGACTTGGGCAATCTGGTGGCGATGTGCGAGCTCCTGCCAACGGACCCTGTTCCGAGCTTTGAATCACGACCCCCCTAAACTTAAAGTTCCCAAAACTCATAGGGTTTAGGGTCTAGGGTCTAGGGTTTCGGGTTTAGGGTATAGGAACCCAACTTCCTAAACTCTCAACCGAAACCCTAAACCCCTCTTGGGTCGTGTCTGGAGCTGGCCAGGCTGTTTGTCAGAAAGCTGCAGAATAGGTTGGGTTGTTTGATTCAGGGTTATTACGGGCATTTTGGTTAGGGGTTATCAAGGGCATTTTCTGGAATAGGGTTATGAAGGGTTTTTTGGGTTCAGCGCCCTCAGCTAGTCAGCCACAGAAAAAGGCAACACTTCAACCCACACACCGCAAGCTGTAAAAAGAACAGCACACACAAAACCCCCCTTAGCCAAATCATTCCAGTTGTGCGACACTCACGTACTCACACCTGAATATGACTCTCTATCGGGCTTGCAGGAATTTAGGGCAGCTGGGGAATCTGTATATGTAGATGTTTCAAGGCCCCAAGTGAAGGAAGGTGTTTTTCAATAAGGCTCCTGGGTGGCGAGGCAAGGTGGTATATAATGTAAGTGTGTATGAATAAGGACAGTTTCGTTTTCAGTGCTGCGCGGGCATTGGGGTGGGGGTTTGGGAACTGGCCCCCCCCTTGAGTTGATTGAGTTGTCCTAATTAAAACCCATCTCAGGTTCCCGCTTCGTGCACGTTTGAGGTGCGCAGTTTGGGGTGCTTGGGGGTTAGGGCTTCGGAGGGTTCAGTTTGGCTTGAGGGGTCCGGCTCGCCAAGGGATTTTTAGCTTTGGAGTCTAGGGTTTAGGGATGAGGGTTTTTAGGGCTCAGGGCATGCTACTTTCGTAAGTTTGCGCGGGCGCAGATTTGTTTCGCTCAGGGGGGCTTATGTAGAATGGCGGTTTCTTAGGATCGTTTGGTAGGGGGTGGGGTTCTTTAAAGCCTTGCCTTGCGGGTTTAGGGTTTGGGGTTTGGGCATTTGAGCATTGGTTTAGGGTTCGGGGTTTTAGGGTTTCCCCAAGCATTTAAGATGCTTGGAAGAACTGTTTTGTGCTTGAGAGCCGAGAGGTTTAAGAAATGGAGGTTAAGGGTTAAGGGTTCAACGACCTAGTACCCTAAGTTAACTAAACTGGCCCCAAACCACCGTTTAGCTGTACATACCAAGTAGGGTTAGGAGAGCAGATTCGGATGACTGATTGTATTTTGGCTCAAGGAAAATAGGCGTGCCCGTTGTGCGTCTTTCCTTGTCTTAAGTACCTTTGTTGTACTTAACTGGTTAACAGCCTCAAGCTACGTGGTCACTTTGGTAGGAACGTAGGCAAAGCCGCGCGCCGCCATAGTGCCCCCTCCATAACCGCACACCTGCCTTGAGAGTGTGCTTGAAATTGCGCGACAGGAGCCGCTGGCCCTGCCTCATTCATACTTCACATCCAGCATTGTGTCGAGCCGGAGCCAGGCTCAGCAATTGCATTCACTTCACCTGCAAGCCACCGTTGGGCTTTCCACGTGGCATTCCATATCTCGAAATCTTCGATCGTGCATGCAAAGCACTGAGCCGGAAGAGCATTACGCAACACACCTCCACATTTGGGTTCATTTCATTAAGGCCTTGCGTGAGAAACGCATCACGCGTTTGTTGATTGCTCATCCGCTAAATTGGTGGAGAAGGTTCGTGAGTAATCTTCTTGCTAATCACTACAGAGAGGTATCGTTTGACTGGCAGCTTAGGGTCCTTGTCCGTGCTTTAACGTACGCCGACGATAGGTGGGTCCCTAGATTGCCTCAATACTTTCCGTGACATCCAGGTACATCGTGTGGCTGCGCATCTCCGCTGCGGTGTCGAGGTGCTTGCCCCTCTTGCCCTGGTTGGTTCTGACTTTCGGACTGCACTTCAAACATTCCTGAACATCTTGCCTTTGTACCCTCTCCTGTGAACCCGTGCACGGTTTAGGGAGGCTAGGCCTTGTGGGTACCCTAGGCGTCTGACGAAGCATCACTGCATCACCGTGTGCTTCGCCTCGAACTGCCCAAACAGCAGGTTCAGTTCAGACTTCGATCTTCGCGTGGTTTGTGGTCTCCCTTCGGGTTGAGACTAAGCCCATCACTCCGCCAACAGCAAACCCACAGTGCCGTCGGCTTGACCACGCACTGTGAACGCAACATCGGACAAAGTCCCAATCCCTAAGAGGTTTCAGGGTCAAAGCAAAGAGAGTCGCGGGTCTTCCCCACTCTCATCCGTGTGCATTGGCTCAGACAGCCGGTTGAGTGCGTGTCGTTAGTTGAAAGACCTGCATTGCCCCAATATCCCATCTGAGGAATCCCGGCAAGGTAGTCAAGCTCAGGCGCTCTGCACACATTCTTCTGGCCACTTTCTAGGCTTGTTGGGGTCGCCGCCCGAATTAGGCTTAGAGGGGTCGCCGCCCGAATCAGGCTGTGCAATTGTCTCTGGTACCATGGGTTGGAACGATTTTTTGCAGGCGTGGGAACGCGTGACCTCTGAAGAGTCCTTTGTGGAGCGTGTGACTGCTGCTTTTTCCAGGGCCACGAACTCGCCTGCGGTCAAAGGCTCGTCTGAGTTCCGTCGGAGGAAAGCTGTCCTCTTGGTGGTCATCCGTGCGCTGGTGCAGCTTCTCATCGGTACTCAGCAGCAGTCTGGGGCCATACGGCTGGTCCGAACTCGAGAAAGAGAGCTCGAGGGCACGGAGGCATTGCCATATCATCCTTACGCTACGTTCGTCGAGGATACCCTGGAAGAGGTCAGAGGAGTGCTTCAGGCACCTTCGCCGGAGCCTGAGATACCGGCTCCGAGGACTCCTCCTGTCGCAGTGCGTTCCAGATCTCCGCCTCGTTCCTTGGTTGAGGGTTCTGACCAAACTCCGGTACCTCCTAGACCGCGACCGAAACATAAGGGTGATCGAACCCCTGCACCTCCTAGGGCACGACCTAAACATAAGGGTAATAGAACCCCGGTTCCTCCCAAGGCAAGTACCTTGCCCGGAACACCAGGTCCGTCACGTGCACCGGAGGCTGCAGCAGATCTTCTTGTGTATCGTCCCAAAGCAAAGGCCCGGCCCGAGTCCAGACCACCGCAGGACTGGGAGTTGGACGAAAGAGAGTATCCAACCATAGCGGATTCGTTCAGGGAACAGGTTGAATTGGGACAACACTCAGATAGAGAAACCATAAACCGGTGGACTACTGAAGAGTGGAGAGAGCATAATCAGGCGCTCTCATCTTCTTCTTCTGCCGCGCCGCGTGTTGCACCTTTGGAAGTGGTCGAAGTGCGTGAGGACATCCCTGTCCTGATTTCATTGGATTTCAGCGGGGTGCTCAACATCCACTTTCAGGACAGCCGAGATTTTTTGGACCGTTTGAACGCAGAGCGTCCGAGCCACGTGAAGCTGAAGTTTATTTGCACGAGTTACTCTGGGACAGAACGGGCCAAAGAAACGCGTCAGTCGATGGCTTCGGAGCTTCCGGGCGTGCCAGTCTACATCACTAGCTCTCCAACGGGCCGTCCTGGAAAAGGAGCCTTCATTAAGCGTTTGATGGACCGGCGGTCGGATCACTTTGCGTGTCATTTGGATGACAGATCAGACATCGTGCGGGACGTCGAGGCGTATGGTGTTCACGCTATTTTGGTATCGCCGAATACGTGGCTGACTGATCTCGTGCCCACTGTGTTGTCGTGGCTGCGGTCCCTGTAAAACGCTAAAAGAGAGCTGCTGACCTTCAGGGGAACCTGGGGTTTCTATTGCCTGGCACCATGGCGATGAGTCCCGAAACTACTGATTCCTCGCTCCAGGTGTCCACTTCCAGCACGCCGCCTACACAACAGGCGCGGGCACTCAGTGCTGTAAGGGCACAAGAAGCAAGGGTAGGAGAGAGCAGTAGTGATTCCACTCCCGTAAGAGCCGTTTCAACCGGAAGGGGAAGGTCCTCTCAACCCTATGCCTTAGCTAGTTCCCGAAATCGCTCTTCCTCCTCTAGGATGCAAGCTTTGTTGCCTCCGCCAGCTTATGCATGTGAAGTTGCAAGTCCTGCACCAGCAAGTCAACCTGTTTCGCTTGCACCGGGCGATGGGACAACCACCCCGGATGTGCACTTGCATCAGCATGTTCAGCGCATTGCCCCAGAGTTGCACCTGCATCAGAGTCGTCAGGAATTGCATCTTCATGGGGTTGATTCCCGAACACATTCTCAGGCCGTTGCTGCTGCACAGCTGGCACAAGCGCAAGCACAAAACATTCAACAGGACGCTCAGGTGTTTGCCCAGAACGTTCAGCATGAAGCTCAGGCATACGTGCAGGTTGCAAAGAGTGAGGCTCAGGCATATGTTCAGAGCGCTGTCACTTCTGCTCAACATGAAGCCATGCAGCACGCACAAGAGTATGCAGAGCGCGTTAGGGCTGAAGCTGAGAGACAGGTCCAGAGTGTTTCAGAACAAGCCGGTCAGCATCTTGCACAAGCAAACGAAACCATTGCCTCACTTCAGGCTAGGAATCGTGAGCTTGAGGAGCAGCAGGAAGAAATGATGCAGCGGATTGCGATGATCCAAGCTGAGATGCAAAGCATCAAAGCTCAACAACAGTCCCAAGCCGACACGTCCCACCTTCACGCAGAGCGAGTGTCGCAGGCCTCAAGGGCTCAGGACCAAAATGGCACGGAGATCAGTGAAGCCCTCAAGGCCTTGGCTGCAAGTGTTGGTGAGACAATGAAGGAGTTGCGAGAAATCGTCAGTCCCAAAGCATCCAAGCCTAAAAGCAAAGCGAAAGGTTCGGGGCTCCGAAACGGGACACCCTCCCCTAAGCATAAGAGTCCAAAGGTCTCAGCGACTCAAGGTCAAAGATCTGCTGGTGTGGCTGCTGCGCCTGTTCCAAATCGGTTTGGATGCTTCTGCGCACCCAGGTTGCCAGTTTTCACCGGTGTTGGTTTGCCGGCTCCGTCTAGATCCAAGAAGGGTTCTTCGAGTGACAATCCCTTCAACGTCTTCTCCACTCCCAAACCTCCTTCAGTCGTGCATCCCCCAGACCCTCCGATGCACTACGACATCGGGTCCGAACACGAGGAAGGTGAGGAGGAAGAGGAGAGGGAAGATGACCCCATCATTGATGTCACCGATGCACCGGGGGAAGAAGAAGTAGACTATGAGCAGGATACTTACCACAACAAAGATCTTCGAGACCTGAAAATCCCTGCACTTCCTTCGACAGCCGCGGGATATCGAGCATGGAGGAACGGCGTTTTGACATCGTTCAGCAGCATAGACAAGAGTGGGAACGCCAGGATACTGAGATGGCTCCAGGTCGCCCTTGATCCAGCCATAGGAGACCGACAGATGCGCAATCTGCAGGTCACGTCTGACGGCCTTCCCCGCCTTGATGCATTCCTGGCTGCACAGCTTACAGATCCAAAACACCTCAAGGGAGACTACGGAGTCGCTGCCCAGGCGTTCACCGAGCGAGCACATGCGTTAGGCGTGCAGCCTTCCGGGCGTGCGCTGTTGGCAATGCTCAGCCGAAGGTTTCGGGTAGACCGGATCAGGGGGGCGACAGTCTCCCAGCAGACACTCTTAGCCATCCAGCTCGAAGGCTTCAGCCAACAACAACTGCAAGCCTTTAGAGAAAAGGTTGAGTTTTGTTTGAACGGTTTCAGTCCCGAAGCATGGCCCGCTGAGTCTACCTTGTTTAGCTGGTTATACTCC